ATGCTCTCCACTGCACACCTGTAGAAGGAGGTGAGGACTGAGCTTCCAGACCAGCTCGTCTCAGCCGTCTGAGGAAGTAGAGTCTCTGATGAGCTTTCTTCATCAGGCTGGTGGTGTTGTTGCTCCAGCTGAGGTTGTTGTTCAGGTGCACACCCAAGTACTTGTAGCTGGAGACCACTTCCACCGCAGATCCTCTTATGTTCAGGGGGGTGTAGATGTTTTTGTTCCTTCTGAAGTCCACAATCATCTCTTTGTCTTCTTCACATTGATGTGAAGGTTATTCTCTCTGCACCAGCTCTCCAGGTGTTCCACCTCCTGCCTGTAGCTGGACTCATCATTGTTTGTGATGCATCCCACCACCGCTGTATCATCTGCAAACTTTACAATGTGACAGCCTGGATGGGTAGATGCACAATCATACGTGAGCAGAGTAAACAGGAGGGGGCTCAACACACATCCCTGAGGAGAGCCAGTGCTGAGGGTTATGGTGGAGGAGGAGAAGTTGTGGATCCTCACTAACTGTGGTCTGTTTGTTAAAAAGTCTAGTACCCAGTTACAAATGGAGGGGCTTAGTCCTAGTGTGGATAGTTTGTCCATCAGGGTTTGGGGATCATGGTGTTGAAGGCAGATGTGAAGTCCACAAAGAACATACGGACGTAAGAGTTTTTCTGCTCCAGGTTGGTGAGAGCAGTGTGGACCACAGAGGAGATTGCATCCTCTGTTGATCGGTTCTCACGGTATGCGTACTGATGAGGGTCCTCGTTGATGTTGATGGTTGTTTTGATGTGAGTCATGACCAGTTTTTCAAAGCATTTAGCGACTATCGGGGTGAGGGCCACTGGCCGATAGTCATTCAGACCAGTCACTGTAGAGCTCTTTGGGACTGGGATGATAGTGGTGGTCTTCAGGCAGATGGGAACTGTTACCAGGGTAAGTGAGGAGTTGAATATGTCAGCCAGCACCTCGCAGAGCGGATCGGCACATTCTTTCAACACCTTCCAGGGTATGTTGTCTGGGCCGGTTGCTTTGTGAGAATTAATCCTCTTAATGTACTCCTCACTTCGGCTGAGGTCACGCTGAGATGCTCTTCTTCTGGTGGTGAGGTGAGTCTGTTCAGGTCTTCAAAGCATGCATAGAACTTGTTGAGGGCATCAGGCAGAGATGGGTCTTTGGGGCATTGTACTGGCAGTTTTTGGGGTGGGGGGGGGTAGGGTGAACAATTTGGTTTGGTAGGCAGGACGCTCTGTTCCGTTTACTGGGCGGGGCACCCTCCTTGTTTAATGGTAGGGGAAACACTAGTGTAGATTATCTTGTACATGTTGTGCTACAGTTCTGTTTATGTATTTATTAGCAGAAAATTATTATTGTGTTTTTCCAGTGGACAGCAGCAATGGCAGCAGTGAGTTTGAATCTGGGAACTTGGTGTCGACTGTCACCCGTGTGATGGTGAGCCAAAACAGGCTGTACAGCGACTCAGAGGAGGTGGTCACTCTACAACTGTTCAGTGAAGTCATCGAGATGGAGGGCAAACAGGTAAACTGTGGTAAACTAACAGATGTGCAAAATCTAGGGTAAGGTAAAGGCCTAGAATTCCTTGAAGAAATGTGCATCACCTTTCATGCCAGAGTTTTAGACTAACATCATCTCATGTAGAACAATGATGAAGGTGAATTGGTTGGACCTACCATTCTGTGTTCGTCTGTCTCTCCTTCCTGTCCTCTCAACCAGCCTGTCAAAGCAGATGGTCTCTTGTCCTGAGCTGGTTCTGCTGGAGGTTTCTTCCTGTTAAAGGGAGTTTTTCTTTCCACTGTCTCCACTGTGCTTGCTCAGGATGGGAGACCAACGAAGCCAAGATTCAACTTGTCTGCTGGATTCTTAGATAGAGAACTTTACTAACTGGCTTTTATGTGAATGTTCCTGTAAAGTCCCTGAGACAACTTTGTAGTGATTTGGAGCTTTATAAATAAACTGAATTGAACTGAATTGAATTGTTGTTAATCAGTTGTAGATGTACATGTATTCAGTGCTTATTTCCTTTAAATGTAATTAGATTGTGTTTAGTGGTTCATGGGATATTTTGCTAACAAACATGGGTTAAAAACGTTGCTGTCTGTGCGGCGGGCGATGGTGATTCTAAACTGATAATGTGTGATGGCGTCTGACACTGAGGCTCCAGATGTTGAGATGAACACGTCTGTTCATGTTCAGGCTCAACGTCGTCTGGTTAGTATGAAGGCAGAGAGCTGGCTCTAACGTGACTCTGTGTTGTTTAGGTCCAGCAGCCTGACATGTGTGAGGTGAAGATCCTGATGAGTCCAGACTTTCAGAAACTGGCTCAGTTCATCAACATCTACCCCATCGGACACAGTGAGATTTTCAGGGTTCCCAGAGAAAACGACATGGTTGTCACAGGTCTGCCAAGCTCTAGAAAAGGTTTGGGGCTTTTGTTGTTACTATGCTGCAGTCTAGTTTTTTCTTCTCTCATTGTTTTTGCAACTTTCACATCAGATGAAGAGCAGCTGATCTCCCAGACCACCAGCCAGTACCCCCACACAGAGAAGCACTCAGAGACCACCCAGGAAGAGATCGCAGCCCCAGGAAAGCTTCCAGAGACTCCCCTGCGCATGGACCCTGACCTACTGTCTGATGTCATGAACAGTGATGACTATGATGATAGAGATCCAAGTCATCTGACCCCAATCAGAAACCAGCATCAAACGGAAACTCCACCTAAAGAACCTGAATCTTCCTACTCGGTGAGTCCGAACAACACTGACCCCAGATGACGGCGACTCCATCTTAGAGCCTAGACTATTTTTATTCATAACGTTACCAGGAGGCACAAGACTAACATTTCAACCTCAGTACTGATTCTGTAAAAAATACACTCCGTACCTTTTTCTAAAATTCATCAATCAGCCTTTTGTGTGTCATGTCCAATCTCATTTTGAAAAACCACGATAGAGCGAGTGCGTGATAAACGAACCACGAAGTAGCGAGGGACAACTGTATGTTATATGTTAAATCAGGGGTCGGGAACCCATGGCTCGCCAGCCAGATGTGGCTCTTTTGATGGCTGCATCTGGCTCGCAGACAAATCTTTAATAAAAAATAATAACGATAAAAATATAAAAGATGGTCGCGGGTGGCTGGAGCCAATCAGATAATGCGTAATGTACATGGGTGACGTGGTCAGGAAGTAAATTTCCTTCATAGCAGCTAGCTAGCTAGTTGCGGAAACGTGTCGACGAAGATGGCTAAAAGAAAACGAGATGAGGAGTATCGTACTTTTCAGCAGGAATGGACAGAGGAATTTGCTTTTGTGGAGAGAGCAGGTTCTGCAGTGTGTCTAATATGCAATGATAAAATTGTATCGATGAAACGTTCAAATATAAAGCGGCACTTCGACACACGCCATGCTGCATTTGCATCAAAATATCCTGTGGGGGACATCAGGAAGAAAGCATGTGAAGAGCTACTGTGCAGAGTGCAAGCTAGTCAGCAACTCCGTGTTTGGACCCAACAAGGTGACTGGAATTCAGCTGGTTTAGCTGGTATGCGTGTGTGTGTGTGTGTGTGTGTGTGTGTGTGTGCGTGCGTGCGTGCGTGCGTGCGTGCGTGCGTGCGTGCGTGCGTGC